CGAACTTGAAATTTGGTATGCGGACATATCAATGGTAGGTGCTTATACGAGGGTATATATGTATAAACGAGTTTGTAAAAGGGGGCGTGGTACATCCCATAAGCAAGGAATTTTTTATTAGATATAACTTTGGAACCATAAGTCTCACGAACTTGAAACTTGGTATGCAAACATGTCAATGGTAGATACTTATAGGCACGTATATATAAACGAGTTTGTAAAAGGGGGCGATGCACATCCCATAGGCATGGAATTTTTTATCAGCTATAACTTCGGAACCATAAGTCACACGAACTTGAAATTTGGTATGCGGACATATCAATGGTGGGTGCTTATACGAGGGTATATATGTATAAACGAGTTTGTAAAAGGGGGCGTGGTACATCCCATAAGCGTGGAATTTTTTATTAGANTAACCATAAGTCACACATCGAATTTGAAATCTGGTATGCGGACATATCAATGGTAGGTGGTTATACGAGGGTATATATGTAAAAACGAGTTTGTAAAAGGGGGCGTGGCACATCCCATAGGCGTGGAATTTTTTATCAGCTATAACTTCGGAACCATACGTCCCACGAACTTGAAATTCGGTATGCAGACATATCAATGGTAGGGGCTTATAGGAGGGTATATATAACCGAGTTTGCAAAAGGGGGGCGTGGCACATCCCATAGGCGTGGAATTTTTTATCAGCTATAACTTCGGAACCATACGTCCCACGAACTTGAAATTCGGTATGCAGACATATCAATGGTAGGGGCTTATAGGAGGGTATATATAACCGAGTTTGCAAAAGGGGGGCGTGGCACATCCCATAGGCGTGGAATTTTTTATCAGCTATAACTTCGGAACCATACGTCCCACGAACTTGAAATTTGGTATGCGGACATATCAATGGTAGATGCTTATAGGCAGGGATATATAAACGAGTTTGTAAAAGGGGGCCTGGCACATCCCATAGGCATGGCCAATTATTTTCTGAGTTTTTCCGATCTAACTTTGTCCGAGACAACATAGACTCCTATAATTTTCCCGAAGGTAATCAGTTTTCTTCTCTAAATTTTGGTAACTTGAATCTCTCCGCTGAGGACCTATCACAAGGAATATTAGCTTTGAAGCCCTTATCTCAGACTGACGTGGACGGAATCTCGGTAATTTTATTCAACCAATGTGCCGCTATAGTCACTCCACTAAAAGTAATTTTTAATAAATCTCTAGTAGCCGGTGTCTTCGTTGATGATTGGAAATTGACTACAGTAACAACAATCTTCAAAACTGGCAAAAAGAACGATGTACGCAACTACATACCAATTTCCAAGCTGTCGACCACTTCCAAATTATTCGAAGCTATCATTAAAGAGAAATTATACTTCGCTACGAAAAGTTTAATTTCTTCGAACCAACATGGTTTTGTATCCGGCAGGTCCACGGTCTCCAACCTGGCCGTTTTCAGCGAATATTGCATTGAATCATTTTCGTCCGGACTTCAAGTAGATTGCATCTATACAGATTTCTTCAAAGCTTTTGACACGGTGTCACATTCTTTTACGTAAATTGGGCTCTTTTGGTTTTCACTCGATTTTCCTTCAATCATATCTAAGCGAAAGGCGTTGTTTGTTACGATTGAGGGCGAATTTTCTGCTCCTTTTATTGCCACTTCAGTGGTACCTCAAGGAAGTGTTATAGGCGCTCTACTTTTCGTCCTATTTATAAATGATATCAAGTAGTTGATTTTCATTTGCTAGTCACTTATTATACGCAGATGACTAGAAAATTTTTACCGCAATAAGAAATTCAAACGATGTAGCTACGCTTCAGGCTGATCTAAATTAACTTGCCTGATGGTGTACCAATTCCTTTATATCTTTACAATAACTCTAATAGTGTCCTTCAACCTGTGGATGAGATTAAAGACCATGGTGTGATTTTTGAACCACATTTCTCTTTCTAAAGTCACATCAATTTTATTATCTCGGACTCCTACTCGATCTTAGGTTTTGTGAGACGAAATAGTGCTAACTTAAATTATTGTTTACTGCGTTCGTTCGGTCCAGGTTGGACATCACTGCTTCATTGATTTGGAGACCTTGTCACCAATTTGCTATCGCAAGAATTGAACGAGTGCAAAAGGTATTTCTGAAATTCGCTCTAAGATCTTTAAATTTCTCGGACCCTATTCCATCCTAAAGCTCCCGCCTGCTTTTAATCAGCTTAAAGTCGCTTAACATAGAAGGTCGATACTATCGCTGTCTTTTGTTTTTAATTTAATTCAACGGGACATTGATTGTGAGTTTCTGTTGCAACGCATAAACTTACTTATTCCGGCAAGAACTTTACGAAGCTCTTACCCTTTTTATCTTAAGATATTCAAAACCAATTATAAATCCAATGTACCAATTGCACGGGCTCTTCGCGAATTTAATGAGATCTCGAACTCCATTTCGTTTAATTTTTCAATTTCTAAGAATCAGTTGATTCTTACATCAAATGGCACTTAATTTTTCAATTTGGCACTAAGTGCCAAAATGGCACTTTTCAAAAATAGTAATATTTCAATATATTTTTGTGAAATCCTTTGCGTGTACTTCTTTTTCTCAACTAAAATTTTCTAATTTCTAAAGAGTATTCAAATGGTTTATCTTATTTTGGCATTGCACTTTTGTTTTAGAAATGTGGTTTTACTTTATTGCTAAATGGGAAGGATTAAAAAGGATGGCACCTTTATTTTTCTATTTGGCACATTTTGGCATTTTTTATCCTCAATATGGCACCTCATAGCTAAAGATAGTTGGCAGCACTGAAACCAATGGAGCAATTTGTATTTTAGTCATAATTTATCTATGAACTAATTTGTATTAGCACTAAGTCAGAGGTCAGTAAGAACCCTTGTTTTTTGACTAATTAAATAAATAAATAAAAAGCTACCAGGGCTATCGACTAGCCTGAGCTCCAATAAGTAAATATATTTTAAAAGCTGGCAATAAAAATTATTATTTTTAATTACCTAATGGTTCCAAAGCGTTGATAAGCTTTTTAAAAGAGCTTATTAGTCGCGTGCAACGAAAACACCAGTCATTATAGAAAATCACAAGGTGTGGTATGGTTTTGCTTTTTGAAACTACTTTTTTGTCATAGTTTTTTCCGCTTATGGAGATTTTGTGATAGAAACTAATATCATTGTCGCCACTGAATTGGTTTCCAAAAAAGTTTTCAAATTGATCTGATGAAGAACGACCTTTGTTCAGATCGCTTTTCGGTGGAAAATAATAGGAGTCTTCATTGAGTATTCCATGTTGGTCGTAGATTCGGCGGCGATCAGCGTCACTCAGTAACTCGTATGCCTGCTTGATTTTAACAAATACTGTGCTAGCCTCTGGATGTTCACTTTTATCAGGATGCCTGTCAAAAATATGTATAAATGTTTGCTTTATTATTCATTCAAATTTCTTACTTGTGTATGTAGGAATAATCACATTTGGTCTCTACTTATCTACATACATATCTAACCAGGGACCGTAACGGTTATAAGTTTTATTATAAAAATCACTTTTTAATAGTTATTAACTGAGTTTTATTTTTTGCTCGGAAAATAATCGTTACGTTTTAAGTTTTATTTTCTCCCTGGAAAATAATGGTTACGTTTTAAGTTTTATTTTTTGCTCGGAAAATAATCGTTATTTCTTGAGTTTTATTTTTTGCTCAGAAAATAAAACTTAATTTTTGCGTATGCGTATGCGCTTTTTTGCACTTTTTCTTTAGAAATGTGGTTCTCTTTGTTTCTGCCCTGGTATCTGTATTTTCATTACCCACTCCACAGTGGCGTTAAAGGTTCAATGCAGCCGCCCCCTGTCTATTCACGCATGCGCATGCGCATACGCAAAAATTAAGTTTTATTTTCTGAGCAAAAAATAAAACTCAAGAAATAACGATTGTAGAGTGGTTGTTGGGTTGTATTTATTAAAAAAAAAATCACGACTAATAACTACATATACATTTGAAAAAGAAAAAATCAAAATGGTTTAGCAATCTGCGGCGGGCGCAAGAAATAACTGCTTTGCAGCGGCCAGCCATCGCTGTCCACACTCCAAAGACAGTCTTCTTTTAGTTCAAACTTCATGTGGCTTGTTGTGTAACCGTGTGTTTTTTTTGCAAAGCGAAGTGGCAAGCAGGCATGCTAGCGTGCCCTGGCATAGCTCGTCGGTTGGGGGGGTTTGGTTGTCTTCACCTGCTTCGCTACCAGTTACACCAACAAAAAAAGTTTGTATCATGCCTGTGTGAAAAGAAAGGGAGACCGAAAAACAAAGAAGAGAAAAAAAGATGCCTGTCCAGTCAGGTTGAGTCTCCCACCCACTTCAACGCAGTCCTGCGTGAATCCTTGGGCACCGCTTTGACTCCTAACACCGAGCGATGCCCCCTTACCTGACTTGGGTTCGTCTGTCAGCAGTCAGTTATCCAACGTCCGTCATTTCACCTAGTCATCACTCCCACGTCCCCTCTGTTGCAC